CCTGCCTGCGGGGCAAAGCTGCCCGCGCACCAAGCCTCCGCACTCGGCGGGAGGGAAGGGGGGTTATCGCGCCCGGCCGGCTGTGGCACTTCCAGCCAAAATAGCCAGCGGCGCGGGCAGAGCCGCTCCCCCGACTCCTGCCCCTGCCCCTGCCGGAGCCCAGTTTCGCGCTGCTGGTTCCTCCTTCAGCGCTAACCTGCGCGCAGCAGCAGCTCGCGGTTATCCACCCGCGACACGGCCAGAGGGAGGACGCCGGCGGGGCCGGGCAGGCGAGCGGCACCTGGGGCCAGGCAAGGCGGGGGCGGGGCGGGCCCCAGGCGCGCACAGTGCGGGGGGCCCGAGGAGGAGTCCCAGCCCCAAACCCCCTTCTTTCTCCAGTCCAGTCGGTTTAGTTCGTGCCTGTGGGGCTGGCAGGGCTGTGCTCAGGGTCTTTGGGACAGTGCCTCGGGGGCATGGATGGGAAGTCTGGGGTGGTCCAGCAAGTGTTTTGCCCCATAATCCCATCCTCGTCTGGCCTGCATTTAGGACTGTGTACTTGATGCGTGATATTACTTTACATATTAATTACGGCTTTTAAGGAGAGGCTGAGGGAGCTGGGCTGGTTGAGTCTGCAGAAGAGACGACTGAGGGGCGTTTGATATCAGCCTTCATCTCCCTGCGGCGGGGCTGCAAAGAGGATGGAGCTGGACTGGTCTCCGTGGGGCAGATACAGGACAAGGAGCAATGGGCTCAGGCTGCAGCAAGGGAAGCTGAGGTTCGATATTAGGAAAAAGCTTTCTCGCTAGGAGGGCGAAGCACTGGAGCGGGTCACCCAGGGAGGTGGCGGGATCTCCGTTGTCTTTGAGCCCTGGCTGGGACGATGGAGCTGGGGCCGGACTGGATGCGACTCCCTGAGCTCGCCCCCAGCCGTAACTTCCTGTAGGCACAGCTGACGATAGTCCCTCTCTTGAGGACGCGTCTTTCATCATTTATGGGGTCCGCCCCGCCCCGGGCCCGAGAGCAAACCGCGGGCGCAGTGCCCCCGGGGCGGGCGCGCACCGCCGCGCCTGCCTCTTTAAAAAGGGGCGGGGCGAGGCGCGGCGCTCCCATGGTGCCTTGCGGCGGGCGGCTTGGATTTTAAATCGTAGCAGCCAATCGGTGCGCGCGGGCTCGTAACGCTCCGGCCCCGGGTTTCAAATCGGTGGCGCCGCGCAGCTCGGGCCGGGACCGGGGGCAGCGGCGGCGGCGGCGGCGGCGGAGCAGGAGCAGGAGCAGGAGCAGGAGCAGGAGCAGGGCAGCAGCATGAGCGCGGTGCCGGCCAAGGGCACGCGGCCGCTGGG